CTGTGATAATTTAACATGGAAGTGAAGGACTTCCTCACCCAGAAGGACTGTATTCTCACAATAAAGAACAAGCATGCACAGCAGTGATGGCAGGGCACTGGCCAGGGATACACGATGAGCCTGCATGTGAGAGCCCTGCTCACAGACCTTCCCCATGGCAGTGAGCAAACAGTACAGGTTCTTCCTTTACAAAAAGGGACAAGTAGATATGGTGATTACAAGGTTTTGAAGTCATGGGCGTGCATCTAAGTTTGCATTTGGGCTCTCCCTGCCATTAGGTTTCTTTCCCTATCAATGTTATTGAACATTTTTCTGTGTTTTGGTTTCATCATTTACCAAATGGACAGATTATTTGGCATTTACTCTTGAAGGTATTCTAAGGAATAATGAAGTACTGTGGATATTATTATCACACACAGACACACACACAACTGGAGAAGAGAGAACAGAAATAGAAAGATTAAGTGTGACGGAATTTAAAGAAAAGTAAAGTTTTAGAGCAGAGGATAATGATAAAATAAGCTAGAAAGAATCAAACTATCAGTCTGCACAATTCCTGGTTTTCCCGTGACTGCTTTTTTATTTTTATTTTTTGTACTATGTGGGTTACAGAAGTATTTTTTCCCTCTTGAACATTGAAGCGGTGACAGCAATGATTATTCCTAAGCACAGGTCTGAATAAAAAGCCATACTATGGAATATTTTACTTTCCCTGCAAATCTCCTCACAACCTTCTCATAAATAAATGGGGCTAGAGTCAAGAAAACTATGTTAAATCCCTCCCTTACTGTTTGGACTGTTCCCAAATCATTCATCATGGATACAGGAGGATGGGGGCTTCTCTTTGGCATATATCTTAGGGAGGTCTGGCAGGGTTAAGGGAAAGAGACAAAGGAGCCGATGCTCAAATATCCAGGGTATTTTTGCCAATCTAATGCTTTTAAAAATACATGCACAGTATACTTTTGTCAGTAAATCCTCTAGATGCTTACAGTGAAGGTGGTGAAAATTGCTTAGGCAGTTCAAAATCGTATCTAGAGCTTTTTGCAGATCAGTGTTCTGACAAGTGAAGATGAGAATATCCATCTCTAGATCCTAAACTCAGTGACCCCTGAGGATTGGCAGTAGGGTGTTTTTTTTTTTTTTTTTTTGGATTGGAATTGAGTAACTCTTTAAATTTGGGTGGTAGCTATTTCCATTCTATCAGTATTTCTGGGCAAGGAGGATGACGTTGTACAGGGGGTTTGGGCCAATTTGAGGGCAAAACTATCTTGGTCCCAGGGAAACTATGCATGTTGTATCAGAGTCACAAAATTCATGATAGATTGCTCTGTGCAATTGCTTTTAAGGATTCCATGTCCTATTTTAAATCTTTGAAATGAAACTTTATGCCACAGGGTCGTCAGTGAGAGGAAAGGGTAAAGGAAAAATATAAAATAAGGCTGAAGCAAGACGGCACGTCTGTTACGGTGTGAATGGCTCTTACAGATTCTCTTCCTTTCACTCAGAAACGTCTTATTGGTAACTCTTTCATTTGGGTGGGGTATAAATTATTTATAGGGTTTAGAGTAGAAGGCCACCATGTTTTATCTTTTTCTGGCTTTTATGCTTGAAAAAACAATGCTAAGTTGTGGTTGTGTCAAGATAACTTTAAGTGAAAAGTACATTTTTAAATTTCTTTAATTAAACATGATCAAAGGCACCCTTAAAGTATTTGAATGAGCATTTCCCTAGTTATATGGCACTGTCTATATTCTTTTAACATGGCTGTTGGCTCAGTGAACCTGTTGTTGGTTCAATAGTTCCTTCTGCTATGAACGACCAAAATTTTCCACTCTTTGAAACTTAGTGTTTTACTATATACAGATGAAACACACCTGTTTCTGATATACAACCACTTTCAATTTTTGCTAACTGAAAAATTCATGAAATGGAAAAAATCTGTGTACCCCTTTCTGGTGTAAAATATAATTTGGAGGTTCATGTTGTTGATTAAAAAGTAGTGAGCACCTACTGTGTGTGTGGAAGGCATTGTGGAATTAATTCAACAAATCTGAACATGTTGATGGAGCACTCACTCTGGGCCAGGCCCTCTTGCACAATCTGAAAGGTGGGTTATGAAAACAAAGAAAAACAGAGACAAATACCAGTAACAGGCAGGGAGGGAAGGGGGAGAGAGTGTGCTGGGGGGTGGGCTGACTTTTAAATAGGATGATCAGGGAACTTAGTATTGGGGGAAACAAGATTATAATGGGAAAAGGTGAAGAAAGATTGGGAAGAAAATGAAGGTGCAAACAATGTAGTTGGTTGTGGAAGATCTTCCCAACAGAGGGAATAACAAGGGCCCTGAAGTGGAGGAACACTGAACACTTGAAGAAGAGGCCAGCGATGCTGTAACTGAACACCTGGAATGGGACGAAGCGTAGGATGAGTTCATAGAGGTAACAGGGAGCCAAGTTATAGTAGGTCTTGAAGGCCACTGAAAAGGCATTGCTTTTACCATGAGCAAGATGGGAGCCTTTGGAGGGGCTGAATAAGAGAAAACATTATCTAAGTTTTTAAAAAATTACTTATTTATTTCAATTAATTTTTATTGGAGTATAGTTGCTTTATAACGTTGTTAGTTTCTACTGTACAGCAAAGTGAATCAGCTATCCGTGTATCCCCTTTTTTGATTTCCTTCTCGTTTAGGTCACTACAGAGCACTGAGTTCCCTGAGCGCCTCTACAGCAGGATCTCATTAGTGATGTTTTATACATAGTATCAGTATTGTACCTATGTTAATCCCAATCTCCCAATTCCTCCCACCCTCCCCCTTCACTTTGGTATCCATACATTTGTTCTCTACACCTGCGTCTCTTTCTGCTTTGCAAGTAAGATCATCTGTACCGTTTTTCTAGATTCCATGTATATGCATTAATATACATATTTGTTTTTCTCTTTCTGACTGACTTCTTCTTTGCTTCACTCTGTATAACACTCTGTAGGTCCATCCATGTCTCTAGGTCCACCCAATTTTGTTCCTATTGGGACAAAGCGGCTGAGTGATATTCTATTATATATGTAATACATCTTCTTTATCCATTCCTGTGTTGATGGACATTTGGGTTGCTTCCATGTCCTGGCTATTGTATACAGTGCTTCAGTGAGCATTGGGGTGCATGCATTTTTTGAATTATGGTTTTCTCCAGGTCTATGCCCAGTAGTGGGATAGTGGAGTCATGTGGTAGTTCTATTTTTAGTTTTTGAGGACCCTCCATACTGTTTCTTCATAGTAGCTATACCAGTTTGCATTCCGGTCAACATTGTAGGATTTATTTCCTTTCCCAGCATTTATTGTTTGTAGATGTTTTTGATGATGGCCATTTTGACCACTGGGAGGCGATACCTCATTATAGTTTTGATTTGTATTTCTCTAATAGTGATGTTAAGCATCTTTTCATGTGTTGTTGGCCATCTGTGTGCCTTCTTTGGAGAAATGCCTATATGTCTCCTGCCCATTTTTTGATTGAGTTGTTTTTTTGATATTGACTTGCATGAGCTATTTGTATATTTTGAAGATCAATCCTTTGTCAGCAAATATTTTCCCCCATTCTGAGGGTTATATTTTCATCTTGTTTATGGTTTCTTTTGCTTTGCAATATCTTCTAATTATTCCTAAATCAGTATAGTTGCCTTGTTGTATACACACACACACACAGAGTAGGATGTGCATGTAGAGAGAGAGAAACCAGTCATCAAGGCACTGAGTATCCCAGATGAGTGATAATTATGGCTTGGATCAGGGTCATAGACAAGAAATGACTAGAAGTAGAGTCTGAATATATACTTGAGATTTGCAGGATTTGCTGAAAGACTGTATGCATAAATTAAGAGAAAGAGATGAATCAGTGATTCTGAAATGTCAGTTGCCATTTACTACAGAAGAGAAGGTATGAGGTAAAGCAAGTTTTGAGGGATGGCAGTGGGGGCAGGGATTGGGAGTTCTGTGTTGGACACATTTCACGGAGATGCCAAGTGAGGAGGCAAAGTGAAGATGACTCAGCACACAGGTGGGGAGAACCATCTGGAGCCAAGGTCAGGGTCCAGGCTGGATACATGTATTTGAGAGTCGTCAGCACTGAGATGATGTTTAAAGCTGTAAAATTCTATAAGATCATCTTGGGAGTGAGTAGATATTGATCAAGTGCCAAAACGAAGCTTTACTAAATAGTGAAGAGTCCAGACTGATAAGCCAGAACCCAAAGAGAGGGAGGGAACGAGACACCAAGAAGAAATGGCCAGTGAGCGAGGAGGAAAACTGAGACAGCATGAGGTCCTAGAAGTCAAGTGAAAAAACAAAAAAATGGAATGAGGATTATACTTTTGGATATATAGAAACAATTGTTAACATTATAAAGAATATACAATGACATAAAAGCATTCCAAATTTAGTAGAGTAAGTGGTAAGTGCTACAGAAGATCTGTATTCCGGCTGCCACAGTCACAGACAAAAGGGATTCCTGACCCTCAGTTCATGAGAGGCCTGCATGGAGTGGGCAGCATTTACACCCAGTGTTGAGGGATGTGTAGAAATGTGATTGGTAGAAGTGGAGGAAGAGAAGACAGTTATATCAGGGGGCACCTTTTACTAAGAAGCTCAGAGAAGAGACAGGATGAGGTATATTTGAGAAACAGCGAGTAGGCAAGCTGGCCTGGTATGGAGAATGTGGAGACCACTTGCTGCACACCTCTGGGGCAGGTTTCCAGGGGCTGAGAAAGATGCTCAGATTTTGTTATGTGGTGTTTGTTTCTTTAGCAACTCTTCAAAGCAATGGGCATAAGAAATCTTAACCTTGAACCTTTCAATCCTTTCTCCCAACCTCTCACCTACCAAATCTTGTATTCTCATCTGTAAATATAGTAACAGCCATGCACAACCTCTATCTGTTTAGCAACTGTGGAGTTCTTGTTCTAAGGTAAACTCTGGTAGGAGGAAAAGAGAGCAACATATGCAACAATATTCACTGTACTAGGAGTAGCTTCTGTGTTCCAGTTCTGATGTTGGAGGAAAAAGGTAGAGAGAGAAATAAGAATAAGATAAGGCTCATTCTTTGAACGGTTGCACAAATTTCTGAGGTCAGTTTGCCTTAATAGCTGTAAAATAGAAAATTCATGCTATATATTTGGAGTTTGGCCCAGCACAATCTGACCTATGCCCCAGTGCCATGGAGATGAGAAAGTTGTGTAGCCAGCATCCAGATCCAAAATTTCTTAAAAATAACATTCATGGCACTAAAGGAAAAGAAACATGAGGAGGAATCACATGAGATTTTCTTCTCAGTAACAGACAGGAAATATATTAACAGATTCCATGCCTCAAAAAAATGAACACAGTAAATTTTCTTACAGACATTTTCATGTGAATTTTAATTTTAGGGTCAATTTCATGAGTTTCCCCCCCTCATCTTTGTATTCCCAGTGGCTTAGTGGGATGAACTGAGTCAGAGGACCTATTATCCAATTCAAACCCAGACACCAGTTTAAGCCCCCTGGTCTCTCTGCACCTCATGGGTCTCATTTGCAAAATTAAGGGAGGGGACACTGGTATATAAGAAAATGGGAAAGTCATCCTAAATCTGTATGACTTTGGAGTCATACAGATTTGGTAGCTATGGCATGCTGAGTGAGCTACCAAGTGTCTCAATTTCAGTTGCTGAAACACAAATTGGAAAGAATAACAGCTCTCACCCAGTGCTGTGATGAGGATTAAAAGAATTCATGTACAGAAAACTTCTGGCACATAGTAGATCCTCGAATAAATACTCATTTCCTTCCTTCTCTTAATTTGAGCATTTTATTTCCAATATAATGTCAAGCACTTATTTTGCAGAATATATTTTGAAAGAAATTACAGAGTTTACCACTATTAGTTGTTTTGAATTTTTAAAAAATGGCATCCGCAGCCTCTATGTTTATGGTGAAAAAGAATTAGTAGGGAGCACGTACTACATGAACAGTGAGGAGAAAACTGGTATTCCCCTCAGGAGAAAATTTAAGATTATTTGGGAAAAAAGAGGAAGGAAGGAAGGGAGGAAGGAAGTTAGTTGATAAATAGTTTTAAAGTCTATAAATTTAAAATGAACCAAGTAAGAGAAAGAAGAGTATTTGCCGCACTGCCCTTCCCATTAGGATGTAGGTTAGGTACTGGGGCTGGCATGACATAAGCATCTGTCTTCTTCCTAAAATGGAAAAAAAGAAATTTATGACAATGAGTGAGTTTACAGCAGGAATGTCAGCTCAGCCAATGACTCAATGCTCTATGTAAAAGGAAGTGTATACTTTACTACTTTGGCTTTCTAAATTTTTCTTATTTTGTCTGACTACATATTGCAGACATTCTTTTCAGTTAGCAGTTAGTCTAATTTGCGGCTGCCTTTATAAAACCAAAGCTTCCCTCCTACAAATGTTCAAGTCCTTCGATCCCTAGTATCATACGGTTTGTTATTTCAGACATGTAAAACACCCAGAGCACGAAGGAAACAATAAGTAGCCACCATCCCTTGGCGCCATCCATTACTCAGCCGCTTCAGGTTTGTCATACAGTATGAAATATAAATGAAGAAAGAGGGGAAGGGAGACAAGGCAGTAATTTACGCCTGTCTAGAAAGTTGGCACTGCAGCCTCAAGTACAGGGAGCCATTTACAGGAGAAAAAGCGTAACCAGAGACTGTGGAAGTGTGGAAGGTGAGATCATCCACCAGCAGCAATCCTTCAAATTCATAGACACTTGTGGATTCATGAGGTGAGAATGAGCAGTGCGGAGGACTGTGAAATTCATTTCCAGTGTTTGACTTTGTTAGCACACATTCTCAAGCTGTCTTTGTTATGAGATAGCGCTCAGCTTCTTAGTGAAAAAAAATCTGTATAGAAAATATCCCCATTAATGGGAAATAATAATAGTGTCAAACATAAAAGAGACCACAGGACTGTTTATGTAACTCTAAAGTATTATTCAAAAGAGAAATATATATATAAACACATATAAAAATATATAAATAATATAGATATAAATATATTTCTTTTAAATATATAATTACATATCTTATATAATTATATATCTCACATATAATTATATATGTGTGTATATATATTTATTTAGGAGAAACTTGCACTAACTTTTTTTTTTAAATCTTTACCTGAATTTTTAAATGATTAATTTGAATTAACTAATTGCAGTTTATTTGAATGTATTTGTCTTCATTAAGAATAATCAAAACTTGTCTTGAAATGTCTTTTAACTAAACTTTTCTCCAAGGCAGAAGTAAATCTATCAGCGATTTAATAGGATAAAAAAAGTAATTTATGGAATGAAGCAATGATCTGTACCTTTCTCACATCTCTCTCACAAAGCCTCATGTAGATATTATGTCAATTTCAAAATCAGAAGAAGGAAATGCCCTATATATTAGTAGTTTCTCTAGAAACTGGCAAATCAAAATCTAGGAGTGAAACGATGAGAGTGTGAAAGTGTAGGGGTGAGAGAGGGAAGAAGAGGTAGCATCAGTTACAGCTTTTGGGTTCTGAGTGTACCAGAAAAATTTAAATGACACGTATCAGTAAAGTGTCATTTGTTATGAAGGACTTCGACAATTCAGAAATTTTAAAGTAGTTCCTCTTACTTCTGGTGTCTGCTTCCCGGTGGGTGAGGTTGGTCTAGAGACTTGTGCGATCATCCCCTTGCTGGGGAGTCTCATTCGGAGAAGGCAGTGGCAACCCACTCCAGTGTTCTTGCCTGGAGAATCCCAGGGAGGAGGGAGCCTGGTGGGCGGCCGTCTCTGGGGTCGCACAGAGTCGGACACGATTGACGCGACTTAGCAGCAGGGAGTCGGATTGGTGTGGCGGTGACCAGAGCCTGCCTGGCTATAGAGCAGGGCCTCCCTCTGCTCTGCGGGCGTCCGTGCGCCTGTCAGGGGTGGGGTCTGCTTCCTGGGGTTGGAGGAGAGGCCTCCAGGTCTGGTGCTTCGCTGTGTCTGTGATCCGCGGCGCTCCCACCGGGAGAACGGCCACTGCGCAGTCCTCCCCTGGACGGCTACCCTGTGAGTGTCCTCTGCCGTGTCCCCTTCCACCTGTTGTGCCAGCTCACCGAGTGCACGTGATTAATCCACGTGATTAAGTAGGCGTAAGATGAGGAACGTCTGCAAGGTTAAGGACTGTAGCTGTCTCATCCAGAGCTTTTCAAATTTTAAAGTGCACAAATCACTTGGGATCTCATTACAATACAGACTGTGAATCAACTTGGGATGGGACTCAAGATTCTGCCTTTCTCATAAGCTCCCAGGCCATGCCAATGCTGCTGGTCTATGAAGCACACTTTAATTAGCAAAGCCTCAGATCATGACACAGGAAGAAAGTTTATCAGAGAAATTGCATCTAGAGAAGTCTGAATATCACATGATCTTTCTTAGCACCCTTATTCCCACTCAGTCCTTTGCAATGAAATCTACTCTAAAAAACATAAATAAAAGTAACATATTCAAATAAACACAATATGATATTTTTACTAAGGCAAATAAATGCATTATTTAACTCGGTTCTCGAAAGAGCCTGTGAACTAAATGCTTTTATTGGGTTGGCCAAAAAGTTCATTCAGGTTCTTCTATCAGCTGAATGGAGAAATCTGAAAGACATTTTTGGCCAACTCAATATTATTTTCACTTTACAGAAAAAGAAACAGCCTTGGGAAATTTAATTAAGGCAAAACCAGATATGCAGAATTTAGAAACAGTTCTGAATTTGGCAAATCTTCATTCCAGAGCCTAAATATTCTAGTCAGTTTTACTGCAATTGTCAAATTATGCTATTGCATCCTTAGTTATTTTGCAAACAAAGCACTAGACAAAAGATACAGTAGGGATACAAAGCTGTAGGAACTTTGGGATATACCATCTTCATTGACAGCTTCTAGACCAGGAGAGACACAGGAATAAGTTACTCTTGACATTAGCAATCTTACATGTGTGGTGAATAGCAGCATTGATGCAATAAATAATCTCTTTCAAGACCTAGAATGAATGCAAGAAGAGAGTAAAATACTGGATTCAGCTCCTTAAGCTAAAAAATAGACAAACAGATTCTAGATAAGGACATGCTGGAGCCTCCAAGCCCTGAACATATGGGATAACCCTTAAAGCTCCACGTCTGAAAAAATAGCCCTTAGATTTTAGAATCCCGGAAGGACTTTTACTATATGAAGCGTATACTATTAAATATTTTATGCATTCTGTTATTTTTAAAGAGTATAATCCTTCCCCTAAGGTGTGCTGGCCCCAGGGTCTTTGAACAAGTCTAGACAAGAATTAATCAGGAGCCATCATTTTCATTTAAGTATGTTATAATTACGTTTGCTTATTTCACACTGTTTAATATACTCCCTTCTGTTAAACTACAGCAAAGACCTTTAGCACCTGTTGCTTATTTCTGCCAGACTGAAAGTATTCCTTTCTCTTTATTATTCGTGTGCAAGGATAAGATGGAACTTGCCAAGAGTTGTCATTCTTGAATGCACCTGCCAAGTGTCAGATACTAATAGCTGAAATGCTTATAGCATATGCTGTGGTTGCTGCAGCTACCAACTTCCAGTGCCCAAATTTCACAAGAGATTGAATACATGCAGGATGACAGATTCATTCCTTGATACACACGTATGTGATTATATGCCCATGGGTATATACCACGCTTATATAACACATCCCCAGGTCAGCTTTGGCTGAGAATATATCTTAAAGTAATTTACTACCTTACATCTTCAACTTTAAAAAAAAGAATAAATCCCTTGGACTATACTTACTGATTTGTTGGCATTGCTCAACCAGACTGGCATCAGCCTGAGTACTAAAAAAATAAAATAAAATAAAACTGAGTTTTGGCTTACAAGGTAGCACCCCACATCCTTTTTTGGTAAGTTCTTTTCTGGTGATGCCTAATACTTTCCCCACTCTTCTGTTAGGTCTTCAGTCCATCTAGATAAAAGTGAGGGCTGCAAAGCTGCAGTGATTGAGGGGCGGGGCTGGCATAGATGTCTCATCCTCCATACTGAGGTCCCAGTGGGGTGAAGACGGAAAGGAATGCATCCTTGTTCCAGTTTACTGTCTCCTGCCAGTCTTGTCAGATCTTATCAGAGGTGCCCAGTGGAAGGGAGAAAGGGTAGGAACGGTTTTCTAGAATGCTTACATGGGACTAAAGCCAGGAAAGATGGAGTGATGATGGTTCTGCTTTCCTGGCTTTACCACATTCCCAGGGACAAGTGAGGCTTTCCACGTTTTTGTTCAGTTTCTCAGGAGCCCGTGTGTTTCACGTTTACTTTCCCTGCCCATGAGTACGTATATGTATATATAGCTGGCAGAACATTAACTTCCCTCTCCTTGACGGATATTAAAAAAAAAAATCTATGTAATACACAAGAAAACAACTCTGCAGCAGGAAGCAGTCTTATTTTATGAACACCCTTCTTCAGGTAACCTCAAGATAGTACAGTTTAGACAATTAATTTTCCCTTTAGGAACACTAGAGTGAAATATTCCTAGACCTCTTTCCCTCTCTTTCTCCCTCTTTTGCTTTCACTGTCCCTCTCTTTCATGTATGAAAATACCACTCAGAGCTCAAGCTGCTTGATAATTAAAGAATAAATTATACATCTCAAGGCCTTTAATATTAGAATAAACATGAGTTTAGTTCATGAATAGCAAGCTTTCATGAACCAAGTAGTCAGGAACCTTGTTGGCATAGCACCTGAATGGAACCAAGAGCTCTTTCTCAGAGGTAGAATTTCCCATATAAGTGAGTCTACAAACCTCTTCACCGATAATTCATTATACCTTCTGGAAAGGGCTGTCTTGCTGTGTAGGGCTATAGTCAAGCAATTTTTCTTTTCCTAAGTTAACTTATACCTTAGTAAGTAATCCTTCTTGGATGTGAGTCAGTCACAAGGAGGATTTTTCTCAGAGGTTCTTGGCACATTTAATTTATAATTGATGCCACCGATGACATAAAAACAGAAGTGCATTATATACTTAAGGACAAAAAAGATTCTTCAGGTATTCTCAGAGTGAGCTCATTTTTGCCAGCGAAGGAACAGAGCACCTGCAGGTAAGTTGTCTACATTCCCATGGGCTCTGCTACCTGTTAATAATAGTATTATTGGATCACTACCTAGGAAAACAACCCTAGGAAAAAAGTCAAAGCTCATGGCTTTCAGCAGACTCAGAAAAACACATAGGGGGCAGAGTTCTAAACTCTGCCTTTCAGAACCTAGGCTGCTGACCAAAGAATTCCAAAGAGAATTCTGTGTGCTGTCACTGATAAAATTTAAAAGGAGATTAGAGACCTGTTTCCAGCCAGAATAATTTGAAAGCTCTGACATGTACCATTATACTGTTTGATGAACATTTCCAGAAGAATAAGATGTCTGTTTTGACCTTTGCAGTGTAAAAAAACATGTCGAAGAGAAGGACAGAGGATTATTTTTATACAGATACCAGAAAGCTGCCCTCCTTATTGAGAAAGTATGGCAGGCTGAATTTTAGTCTTTAGTTTCCTTTGTAATTTGAAAGTCCTCCCAGATAAAACTTTGCGGTATACAACTTGGTTTTGACATCCTGGCTTTTTGCCTGTAACTGTTTATAAGTCATGCAAGGAAGTCATCTATCTTGACCAATATGGCTTAGACATATTTTCCATGTTAATTACACATGTTTGGACTGACATTGCAGTGATACAATTTCATTTGTTTAAAACAACAGAGTGGATGGCTCTTCAACTCAACAAATATAGGTAAAAATTCTTCCTAGGGTAGATGTAACAAGTCTGGAAATTATATAGGCACAGGCACTAGTGGCTGAAACCCCAGAGACTAAGAAGCTGATAATTCTGCAATGATCCCTTGTTTCGATTAACAGCATGTTGGAAAACTATGACATAGTTATCAAAAAAATTACAATTATAATAATATATGTGTTAGACACTCCCACAAGATTGGTATCCTGAAAATAATCAGCAGTTGAAAAGGAAGCAGAAGCATTTTAACTCTGACCCAATGGAACTATTCACATTTTGGCTGTGTTTCTGAGCAGGACCTCCACATTTTTTTACACTCACCAGAACACCAGCAGTTAACCCCGTAATGGCCAACTGCTAGTTATTACCCTACATTTGGTCCGCAGCTGCGCGGCTCTGCTCACTTTATTGTCGTTTCAGCCCTCAGCCCATTAGATGCCTGGTGACCGCTTGCATGCAGAGGGGCCTTTGGTTAACTGAATCCCCATCAGGATCACAGCTGTTGTAAAATATGCGGTGACAAAAATATCCATGTGCAATGCATGGCAGATAAATCTGCAAGCCAATTTAAGCAAAACCTGAAAAACAAATGAGGGGACTAGTCGAACTCTCTGGCTTCTGAACATTACAAACTACATTTCCTTTATTTTGGGGGAATATGTTTCGTAAAATGCCAGCATTCCCCTCTCAGTGTAACAGATGATTGGGGCTAAATTTCAAAGTGATAGTCCCAGTTAAGCAAAAAATGCACTTTTCCACCTTCCTTCACTCAGCAGTAAGAGAATGAATGTCATGTTCAATTATCCAAACAGATTCTTGACTTTGGCTTAATACTAGCATCAGCATTAGGTATTTATTCACAGTGTGCCTCAACTCAAAACACCAAACCCTTGTTTCAGTTTCTTTCAGCCTGGAAGCCTAGCACAGTGCTTGCCTATGTGCAAGCAGGTCCTACCACAGCTGCTGGCAACAGCTGAGCTTCCAGGTCCGGTCCATCACACAGCAGGCCCTGAAAGTAGCCTGTAGGTAATTATGGTGGCTTTTACAATGGTCAACCCATTCTCCAGTTGTGACACTGAGAGACTGTGCTGATCCTGCTTCATATTGCTACCTGCAAGCGTTTAAAAATAGGAAGAAGACAAGGAAATAAACTACCCCCCAAAATAGAATGAAATCAGTTTCTCGATTGTTATCACTGAATGTCACTCCTTTGTCATTTTGTCACAAGTGAAAATCAGGTAACAGATGTGACCTGAGACTCCCTTGCTGCTGCTGCTAAGTCGCTTCAGTCGTGTCCGACTCTGTGCGACCCCATAGATGGCAGCCTGCCAGGCTCCCCCATCCCTGGGGTTCTCCAGGCAAGAACACTGGAGTGGGTTGCCATTTCCTTCTCCAGTGCGTGAAAGTGAAGTCGCTCAGTCATGTCCGACTTTTAGCAACCCCACGGACTGCAGCCCACCAGGCTCCTCCATCCATGGGATTTTCCAGGCAAGAGTACTGGAGTGGGGTGCCATTGCCTTCTCCGTGAGATTCCCTTAGGTCTAACTAAGTTTAAATTCACAAAGCAGGAGTTGTTTCTGGTTCTAACTAATCTAAAATTTAGTTTGGACCTGCATGTGTTGATTTAATGACATGTATTCTGTCCATTCACTCAATTGTTGAGATGTTCCTTAACAGATTTTTCTCCTCTATTAACTTATTTTGACATGTTGTAAGCACCTACTATGTGCCAGGCACCGGGGATAAAATACTAATGAGTCACAGCTCCTGCATGCAAAGAATCTAGGATTCAGAGGCACAGAATCTCTCAAGTGTAGGAGAGGGAAGATTCTTTTCATTCCCCTTCCACCCATGGACAGAGGAGCCTGGCGGGCTACAGTCCATGGAGTTGCAAAGAGTCAGACACAACTGAGCAAACAAGCACAGCACACATGAATCCTCCAGTTCTCTGCTGCCATAAATTATACAAATGAGAGGGAAAAGCACCATTAGTTATTAAATATTTTTACCTGTTTCCCCAACTTGGTTAGGTAGGAGACAATTCATGGTTATATTACCTATGCACTGATGGCCTGTTGACTTCTTAGTAATGGTCATTGGGGAAAAAAGATTTTTTTTAAACTTAAAACTAAAAATTATCAGTTAGATACCTGGAGCACAGCCAATGTTTTATGTGCAGGGAGTTAAAAAATATAGTGTGATTTATACATTTTATCTTTAAGGAATTTAAGTCAGGTCAAGCAAGATTATGACAAATAATTAAAAAATATAATAGAATGAATTACAGTTTATCTGTATATCTATGTATGATGTGAAAAAGTATGCATATGAAAGCTCCTGGTTTTTAGCATTGTCAAAGTAAACTTAATAATTAGTTTAGATTCTCATAATCTCATGTCACGTTGCTCTATTCCACGCTGTTTTTCAGAGGCTCCCCTCACCCGTAAGATAAGGCACTGGAAGGGCTGTGTGGGATCCAGAGGTGCGTGCAGCTCTGCCGCGTGAAGCCGGTAAGCTTACCAAAGACTGGACTGAAATCAGTGAACTCCAAGCCTACGTTGCTGCATTTCTCCTTTGTGAAAGTGTGAAGGTGTTATCACTCAGTCGTGTCTGACTTTTGCGACCCTGTGGACTGTAGCCCCCAAAGCTCCTCTGTCCATGGAATTCTCCAGGCAAGAACACTGGAATGGGTTGCCATTCCTTTCTCCAGGGGATCTTCCCAGGGATCAAACCCACGTCTCCTGCATTACAGGCAGATTCTTTACTGCTTGAGCCACTGAGGAAGCTCATTCTCCTCCTTGGGCCCATATTTTTCTCCCCATATTTCAGCTTTCTTCTTGTGTCTCTTCTCTGTTGGTTAATGTTATGCTGTTATTTGAAGGCAGGTGATGGTTCATAAAATAGAGGTTTTCTATAAAGTTAACAAAAATTACTTTATGGATTTGAATGTGAACTTCTATCTGACTAATAAGACTGATAAGATACATTCCTTTACACTAAATATGTAAACTTGGAGCCAAGGGTTAGGGATTTCCCCCTCCTCTAGTGAAATAAGAGAGTATAATAGTAAGCACTTTCTGAACTTGTTTCAAGTTTTTAAGAAAATTACAGTAGCTTATTTCTTATACTTATCATAATAGAGGAGAAATGAATATGCGACATTCAGTTGAGTCCAAAAATTACTTATTGTGTATGCATGTGTGTGTATATATATATCCTAATAGCAAATATACATATATTACTATATACAGACATATATGTATATATGCTATTAGATAAAATATTTTAAGCACAAAGGAAAATGAGATACTCTTATACATAAAGTTACTTCTAATCACAAGAGAAGTAGAAAATGAGCCAAGAGCTTAATCATGATACAGAAAGGTCATAAGCAGAAGGAAAAGTATCATAAAGTATATATATTGGAGAAGGGAATGGCAACCCACTCCAGTACTCTTGCCTGGAGAATCCCATGGACAGAGGAGCTTGGTGGGCTACAGTCCATGGGGTCACAAAGAGTCAGACAGGACTGAGTCACTCACTCACACACACACATGTATATATAAGTATGAGCACCTGGCCCATACCAGATAAGCTCTCAAGGGGCAAGTAAACTAACTCTTAAAAGCTAAATTTAAGAAATCAAAGAAAAAGGCATATCATAGACTCTTACTTCCAAGGAAATAGTTTATGAAAAGAACAGAGGCATAAAACATGTTGAATTTTAGGGAACCACAAGTCACTCAAAACAAAATGCAAGAGATGGAGAGACAGAAGAGACTGGACAAGAGAGCTAGAACTGATCAAGAGGGCTTTAGATACCAGATTAAGAGAGTCTGGAATTCCTTAGATGATGAAGATGCATTAAGACATTTATGAAAAAGATCATGATGAGCTAATAAGGGCCTGTGCTTAGCACTATTTGCCATGAGCAGGAAAAAGAAACATACAGAATAAAACTGATAGGATTTCACAGAAAATGTAGAGGAAAAGGTTAAATGTGTTAAATGTGATTCTCAAGTTTTGTCTTGAATTATTAGTTTGTTGATAGATTTTACTGCTCGACATAAGAAAGGGAAAAGGGAATCTGATCAAGAGCATAGGTGCATGCTTAAGGCTTAAATAGTAATAAGGAATAACATATCTAAAACTACTGAGGCAAGAAGAAAAAGTAAAAATATAAATGTGTTTGTCTACTCATCAATTTCCTCTGAAGTTAAATAGAGTTTTGGAGTCTGTTGGACGACATCTACCCAAAAGAAAGTTAAATTGAATCTGAACGTCAACCCTTTTAACTGAAGAAATAATCCATATTCTAAGAAAGAATGATAACTAAGAAAAGTATTTTCTAAGAGTTCTAAAACAACAAAATTCTGTAGTTAGAAAACATTACATCTGCACCATTACCTGAAACTAGATTTTTTAAAAGTAACATATAAGCTTTGCATTTCACTTAAAAGTGAAAATATTGTGCAAAAAAATCTTATAAATATTGGAAACTATACATTTCATGAGATATTATCCAACCTTTAATTACAAAGAAAATTTATAGGCCAGCCATTTATATGAGAGGGAGAGAGACAGAGAAATAATATGAGAACATATCTACACACATTTAATAAAAACGAAAGTTAAAATAATTTGACATCATTGTTTATCAGTTGGCAAGGCTGAAGTAATGTAAGAAAACAAGCGCTTTTAAATACTGTCAGTGAATATAAAGAGATTTCTTATTTAGCAGTTTAAAAATATAGATTAAAACCTTTAAATTTTGCACACCCTTTTTATGAGGCATGTTATTAATAAATTGAGTATATTCAAGAATTAACTGTATACATATATATATGTATACACACACACATATATAGATAAATAGATCCCTTTTATGTATTAAAATGAATACATAACATTTGTGGTGGTTTTAATCAGTGTTTTTTATATTTTAAAGAAAACATCTGATATTCAAAAATACTTAAAAAATGAAAATTGTAAGAGTTCTCAAAAGGACTTATGAAGGGTATTTTAGTCATACCCCACAGAACTTCTAAAAATCTTCTTTTTCCATTTATCTTCCCTAAAATCCTCACTACAGTTGGGTAGCTGCTCCCACTGTCTCTGATTCTCTATTAAAACTCTCCAAAACCTTTTAATATAATTAAGCACTGGTCATTTCTTCTCTGTCACCTCTTTTCTCCATCTTTTCAGATTAACTTTTTTCTTGTCTTGCATGTGTCTTCCTCAAGTGAATTAATATAGCCTCTTAGACTTAAACAGTGCTCTAATTCATCCATTTCCTGGATCAGCACAGCCAAAACCCCAAGCCTTAAATTGCCAAAACAAAGTTTCTCCTCTTTGGAAGGGAGAAGAGAAGGCTTTAGAAGACAGACAGCTGAAAATATGTATAAGTTAATTTTTGAAAATATCTGTCATAGAGAATTTATCATATTTGTCCTGTTTATTACTGAAAATATTTGACATTCTAATTATCCGACAACAGTTGATTGGTTACATTAATTATGCTAAATTCATTCAACAGAATTTGATGAGATAGTTTTCAAATTGTTATGTGTGTGTAAGCACATATGAAGTATATTTAATGACAATGATATTCATATTTTAAATTTAAAATCACTAGTTTAAATTAGTTTCTGTAGTTAACCCCTCCATTTTTTTTATTACTGGCTATGTTGAGATATCAAACTATTTTAGTAGGAAAAGACATTGTGATTTTCTTTTGTCCTATGTTTTCTAAATATTTTACAACAAATATTGGTGATAAGATAAAACAGTGATTTGTAAAGGTGGAAGTCTTTACTGCTCTAAATAACATGTTAAACTAAGAGAAATGAAAATGTGTCTGATTTCATCCAAATTGAATTTTTTTCAAGACTCATTTATTATCATGTGTGCTAGTAGTTCTAAAAATGGATAGATGTGAGTTAATTTTTAGGACTAAATTAAAAAACACAGAACAGTTTCCAACTATATTACTTTGCTAGGGCTGCCATAACAAAATATTAATACCTCACAGAGGTGTCTTAAGTAGCATAACTTTGTTCTCACTGTTCTGCAGGCTGGACGTGCAAGATCCAGGTGCTGGCAGGCTTCATGTCTTCTGAGGCCTCTCTCCTGGGCTTGCAGATGGCTGCCTTCTTGGTATGTTCTCACATGGCCTGTCCTCTGTTCATGTGCATTCCTGTAATCTCTTCCTCTTCTCATAGACACTAGTCCTATTGATCCAAGATGACCTCATTTAACCTTGAAAAAGTAAAGTGAAACTGTTAGTTGCTCAGTTATGTCCGACTCTCTGCAACCCCACGGACTGTAGCCTGTCAGGCTCCTCTGTCCGTGGAATTCCCAATTACTGCTTTAAAAGCCCCATCTCCAAATTTAGTTATATTGGAGCTTAGGGCTCCAACATACGAATTTTGAAAGGAATATAATTCAGACCATAATGCCAACTAAAATATACTCTATCATCAACTTAAATTCCAGAAGGTGGATATGAAGATAATAGAAAGATACAATTTATACAGTAGCACTACTGTATATTTTAGTGAATTCTAAATTCTTTGAAATGTGTTGTGTACAAAATAATTCTGTTAACTAAGAAATATAATTAATGAAAAATTCCATTTTTCAGTAATGCTAAAACTAGAAAGAGTCTGAATGTATTTTCTCTACTTTAACCTAGCTGTGCCATTACAAGGTGTCACACATACAACTGTGCTAACAGATACAGTCATCTAGAATGCATAGCTGGAAAGGAAATCCTCTACTCCAGGGAGTGCCTTAAAATAAATTAGGAGGCCCACTCATTACTTGTCCTTTGTTTTCTACTTTGGATTACATCAAACTGACCAAAATTCCTATTTATTACTAGTCCATTAAAACAAAAGCAAAGTTTAGACAGAGAGCATTAATCAATTCATATTTCCATAAGCACAAAGATTACGTCAGCCAATAAATCACTCAACCAGCTGTGTCTTTTTTAAAAAGGATTTGTAAATAATCAGTTTGACTGAAATTAATTGCATTTTTTTCTTCTCCCAATCCCTCACACACACAACAGTGTGAAAGTATCTGGAGACAAAGAATAAGCTGAGATTCTGTCATAAATAAGATAACCAATTTGGCTTACACGCCAAGTAATTCATGGTGAGATCATTGAGTCCTTAGGTATAGAGCCACAGCAAAATGTAGTGCTAAGAAATTCGATCACAAAATTTTCCAAGGGCCATAGTTTTTCAATGTGTAAAAATTCATCCATATATGAGTACTTTTTTCTTTTGTGAAAGCACCATCATAAACCCAATTATATTTCGTAAACTTTTATCAGATAACTTACTCAAATGATTTCTGACTATACACTTGTTTGAAATGTGGGTTTCGAGGATTGGCTCCATGAAGCAGAAGTCATCTCATGCCCTGAGGCTTCTACTTCATCCACTACAAACATCAACATGGCAAAAATCCATGTCTAGAAACTTCCTAAAGAATGAAGTGTCTTTCCTCTTTAGAAAGTAGCAACATGAAAGATGACTGAGAATGCTAAGGATTCAAAACCATACCTTACAGTGTTAACTACAGTCACCCTGCTTTACTTTAGATCTTCAGACTTTATTCACCCAACAGCTGAAAGTTTACACCCTTTTACCACGCTCTTCCCATTTTGGGTGCTTCTTTTCAATTCTCTATTTGTATGAGTTTTACTGTTTTGTTTTTTAATTCCACATATATATATCATATCACACAGAGCAGTATTTGTCTCTGCTTGGCTCTTTCACTTAGCATAAAACCTAAAGGTCCATCTGTATTGTCACACATACCATGATCTCCTGTTTTCTCATGGCTGAATAGTATTCATAGGAGTGTGTGTATGTGTGTGTGATTCTTCAATATGATGTCCTGCATTTCCATTTTGCCTTGGGCCCTGAAAAATTAGGCAGCCAATCCTAAGAATATGTTATCCTGAGGATCCGTATCAATTCCAACTCTTCACTGAATGTCGTCTTTAACTCCTTGCCTTCGGTCCTGATGCTACCGTTTTCTTTGTCTGACACAGAGGAGTTCTGTTTTGGTTTTTCCTGTTATACGGCATGTAGCACAGGACCAGGTAAGGCACTGGCTGCTCATCACTCCCGTCCCACATGCGGCTTGTACCACCAGACCAAACCACCCGCTGCATCTCCTTATTCTCACATTTTGACCCAGTTACTCCCTTAAATTTACTGTTGACTCATTCTCTTCTTCTCCATCTTGATTCATGCGATCATTTTTGGTAACTTTAGGAGCATGTGGATGAACTATTTCCTCTGCCTGTCAGCCCCTTCCTTACCTTCCGTCACCTGTTCCTCCGCCTCGTCCCAGCCAGTGATGCTGGTTGTATCAGCAGTAGCTCACCACACCTGAAGTCTTAAAACCAGTCACTTCCTTCTCCGGCTGCCACCTGCGTTCATTCAGTTTTCAGTCTCAGGTACTCATTTTGCAAGAATTCTTTAACTTCAATGAAACATCAAACCATTGACTTCACTTTTCACTCTCTTCCAACCTACATATATCTCCTTTTCCCCCTTTAACCAGGCTTTTAATCCATGTTTCCTAGTTTAAATTATTCCCTTTTAAGTATTTTATCTTCTTTGCCTTTTTTTCTCTAGCATCTTCCCCTTGAAAAATGTAAACATTGGCTGAAAGCATTTAAAAACTTTTTTCATGCCAGCATCTGAGAAGCTAAATGTAATTGTAGATTAACAATTAGGAGAAATAAAACCACTTCACATTTGCGCTAAAATTTTTATACAGATATTGACAGGGAGGTCTGGTGTGCTGCAGCCCATGGGGTTACAAAGAGTTAGGACTTAGCGACTGAACAACAAAAACATACAGATATTTAACATTTCATACAGATACTTAAAACTTTCATACAGAATTGCCTGGCAATCTGACTGCACTTACATAGGAGTTTTACTTCCTCAAATAAAATCATAAACATCTTTATACTCTTTCTAAACTTTTCTAACTACTGCCCATTTCTCTGTTCCCCTTCATTGCAAAACTACTCAGGATGACTTTCTTAGTACTTAGCAATTCACATCCTGTCATTCACTTTTCAACTTAATGACACTGTAAGTTTTTTCCCATCACTCCCAAGAATCTATTCTTGTTAGAGTCACTTAAGACCATCATCTTGCCAAATCTGCTATTCCATCCTCTTGACATCCACTAGCGTCCTACGGCCAACATTCTCTCTTCCTCTGGTTTCCTGATATTTGAGGCTTCTCTGTCTTGCCCTTACCTACCTCACTGCTTAGCTCTTCTAAGATTCTCTCTCCTCTTAATACTTGCCTGGTGCGATCCTTGTGTTTGATTTCCTTGGTAGCTCTTCCAATTTCACAGTGTAAATACCATCTACACCATGGGGAGATGGTACCCCAGTCACCCCAGTCTTCCAAGGTAGCTTCTCCAGTCTTCCAAGGAGTAAGAGGACCCCCAAATCTTAGAACTTTTAGCACGACAACAAGGACAGTCCTGGGCAAACCAGGATGATTGTACACACTTTATCTGTGTGTCAATAACTCCCCCAATTATGCCTCTAGTCCACACACACCTCTCTTATGAACTTTGTTTTGTAATACACATTTCAAACTTAAATTTGACTAAGACAGAAATCTTGATTTTTGCCTTTGATTTTTTTCTTTTCCCATTATCCCCATCTCCATAGATGTCATCATAATGTACCAGTTCTTATGTCAAAAAGAAAGAAGAAAAGGGAAGGAAACCGGAAATCACTGATGATTCCTCCAGACTCTTCCTTTTCTGTCCTCCAGTCCAGCTGCCACCATGTGGTCCCAGACACCACCATCTCCCACCTGCAACATCACAGCAGTCTCCAACTTCCTGTGTAACTCTTAATTAATTGTTTCCAATCCATAACTAACCATGAAAGCTGGGATAATTCTGGTTTTAAACTAGAGAATTCTTCTGTAAAATATATACAAACACTCATTTCTTTTTAAAATGTTTAAATTGTTTCCTACTTCTTTGAGAATAGCAACCAAACATCTTCCAGGGCTTATAACAGTGCTTCTTTATCAACCTGTGGAGAGGAGAAGTTTGTTTTAGTTTATGCTTTTGTTTCTGTTCTATTTCAGCATGGACTGAGACAAGGTCCTACTGCCTGTGGTTGGAAGCAATCTGCAACGTGAGATGCACCATCCAAGTTCAAACTCACCTGAACTTTGAGTCTAGTGATCAAGGGCTGGAGTCTCTCCAATTTGAAGTTGTTGAAAAGGTTTTAAATTGTAAGTACTTTAGCCTATTTGCTCCCAGAAGTGGTTTAACCCTGACTATTACTAGTGACGGTCTACAAGTCCCTGCCTCTCTGACCTTAGCCCACACAAACCTATCCACTTGTCCCTGACACAGCAGGCGGCTGGCTTCCTTTCTGCCCTTCAGATGAACTATCAGGCCTGTGGACTCAGAAAATTCTTTGTCCAGTTCTCCACAATAAAGCTCATTGTTATCGTTCAGGTCTCAGCTCAGACACTGTCCTCAGAGAGGCTCTCCCAAAGGCCCCCTCTCAATCAGTGGTCTCCAATTATTCCCTGAATCATAATACAGCTTATTCCCTTTAGAGTATATTCTAGAATGTTAACATATTTTTAAATTTTTGTTTTTTAATGCATTGTAAATTTTGAAATTAACTGGATTAGTATAATAAGTAACCATCCTTTGCTTTGCAAATCTACCCTTTTTGATGAAACCAGAATTAATAAACAGGTGTGTATTATGTTTTTGGTAAAAACATATACAAACACACACACACCTTTTTTTTTAATGCACTCATTCTCTACATATTACTCTGTTGAATAATTTTTCACCTAAGAATATATTTTAGACATTTCTAAAGTCTAGAGACCAACACTTAACTGTTTTAAGAAACAGTTAAGCAAGTATATATGTAACTCAGGTAAGTAAAGGAAATGAGATTTTTGGTTATGTTTTTAATTTGCAAGGTTTGTTTCTGTTTGCTTTGCTATTTCTCTGTTCCCTTTCTTCACCTTCATCAATTCACCCTCCCCCTTGAGGATTCTTCTAAAAAATTCAGTGCCTGCCATTTTTTATAGTGTATGTTGTGTGTTGTTCTGATTGTTTCTCTGCATCTTGCTTTTCTCACTCAACGACTTGTTGTCATAATTACTCCAAGACAAATGGCATAGGTCTTACTAGTGATTTCTAATTGCTTCTCAATAGCCCATAGTGTGACTGTATCATAATTTTTTCTCAGTTGAAGGTCATTCATTCTTTCAGATTTTTGTCTCTTAAAAAAAAAAAAAGACAGTGAACATTCTCATATGTATATTTTTATACTGTGGTGTTTTTACTTCTGAAGAATGTTGTTGCTTCTAGGCTGTGGTTATTTACATTTTTAAAGGCACTGTTAAATTGTTCTCCACAATGATGGGGATTATTTATCATTCCAGTAGCACAGAATGTATCATTTCCTTTATACTGACCAGCAATAGGTTTATTGAAATTTAAAAATTTTTTCAGTTGGTGATGGTAAAGTGATAAATATTACATTGTTATTTTAAGTACAGGAAATTTGAGTTTACTCTTTTGTGAATTCGCTATTCATATCCTTGATGTAATTTTCTATTGAGTACCTTGTCCTTTTCTTTACAGTGTGTAAGGACTCTTCCTATATTATAGACGTTAAACACTCATCATCATTGTGCAGCAACCTTTTTTTCCCCCCTGCAATTCTTATTATCTGTCTGCTGACTTTGTTAGTGTAGTGAACGTTTGTCATGTCTGTGGCGGTTCTGAGATCTACTGACCACTCTTTCTGTATGTGGATAATTTTCTACTCATGCGATCTGTCTCCTAAACTAGAAAGCAGAAACTCACTTTCCCAGGTTCCCTTGCGGCTAGGGTACAAGAACATGCCCCTACCAAATTCACCTGCACATAACTCTAAGGTGGAAATGATGAAAGCAAGACAGTGAACGTGGCTTCAATGTCCTGAGGAGGCAGCAGAGGTATCTTTTCAAAAGTAGTTCCTCAGTAGAGTTTGGGCATTTTCCCTTCCAAATCGATTTTCTGAACATGTTGGTTCCAACCAAGAACCCTAACTGATACTGATATCAGTGTGTGTACAAAAGTTATAATTTTAATGGCATATGCATCTAATTTATTTTTTCTGGGCTTCTGTAATGTTATAAAATTTCCCCTTAATCCCTATATTATATATGTAGCCTTGATGATTTTCTTCTATTTTTAAATTTTAAATTAATAGGGAACTACTAAATGTACATGTACACATATATTCATATTTTTGTTTATCTTTATGTGAATATTTATGAACTGTTGTTATTTAGTGGCCAAGTCATGTCTGACTCTTTGTGACCCTATGGACTGTAGCCCACCAGGCTCTGCTGTCCATGTGATTCTCCAGGCAAGAATACTGGAGTGGGTTGCCATTTCCTTCTCCAGGGGATCTTCCCCACCCAGAGATTGAACCCATGTCTTCTGCTGAGTTACCAGGGAAGCCCAATTTATAAATAATATACTGTGTGGATGACAACAAACTGTGGAAAATTCTGAAAGAGATGGGAATACCAGGCAATCTGACCTGCCTCTTGAGAAATCTGTATGCAGGTCAGGAAGCAACAGTTAGAACTGGACATGGAACAACAGACTGGTTCCAAATAGGAAAAGGAGTACGTCAAGGCTGTATATTGTCACCCTGCTTATTTAACTTCTATGCAGAGTACATCATGAGAAACGCTGGGCTGGGTGAAGTACAAATTGGAATCAAGATTGCTGGGAGAAATATCAGTAATGTCAGATATGCAGATGACAGCATCCTTATGGCAGAAAGCAAAGAAGCACTAAAGAGCCTCTTGATGAAAGTGAAAGAGGAGAGTGAAAAAGTTGGCTTAAAACTCAACATTCAGAAAACTAAGATCATGGCATCTGGTCCCATCACTTCATGGCAAATAAATGGGGAAACAGTGAGAGACTTTTTTGGGGGGGGGGGCTCAAAAATCACTGCAGATGGTGACTGCAGCCATGAAATTAAAAGACCCTTGCTCCTTGGAAGAAACATTATAACCAACCTAGACAGCATATTAAAAAGCAGAGACATTACTTTGCCAACAAAGGTCCGTCTAGTCAAAGCTATGGTTTTTCCAGTAGTCATGTGTGGATGTGACAGACTCTAAAGAAAGATGAGCTGAAGAATTGATGCTTTTGAACTGTGGTGTTGGAGAAGGCTCTTAAGAGTCCCTTGGACTGCAAGGAGATCAAACCAGTCCATCCTAGAGGAAATCAGTCCTGAATATTCATTGGAAGGACTGATGCTGTAGCTGAAACTCCAATACTTTGGCCACATGATGTGAAGAACTGACTCATTTGAAAAGACCCTGATGCTGGGAGAGTTTGAAGGCGGAAGGAGAAGGGGACGACAGAGGATTAGACGGTTGAATGGCATCACAGACTCAATGGACATGGGTCTGAGTAAACTTCGGGTGTTGGTGGACAGGGAGGCCTGGCGTGCTGCAGTCCATGGGATCCCAAAGAGCTGGACACAACTAAGCGACTGAACCGAACTTAAGCATTATATGGAAAAAGAGAGAAATCTCTGCTATCCACAAAATATTTTACAAAGATGGAAACTTTCTGTAATCTACACTAAATAAACACTAGCCCCACTTTAAAATATGACTAAAGCTGCTGAGAAACAATTTTTAATTTAATTTAGATTAATTTCCATTTAAATGTAAATAACACTTGTACCTCTGGCTACAGCCTTGAACAGCACATAACAGTGGACCCCTGGCATTTTACTGTATTAATTCTCCCACATATGAGTGGACCCAACTTAGTTTCCTCTGGTTAAACAGCTAATTGTCATCTCTATTTAATAAATAAGTCTTTCTTTTCCCACAGAGTAGCTAATGTTACCATATATGAAAGTTTCATATACACACATTTATTTTCTAGATTATCTATTTTTTATGGATACCATATTGATGTTGTTATAGCGACTTTATAGTCTGCTGTATAAAGCATATTTCACAGCTTCTGACTCTCCTATATCTAACTTTTCTTGGCTGTTTGAGGCATATATTCTTCCAAGTGGAGTTTTATATCATTGTATCCATTTCTAAAACCAACCTTGATGAAGTTCTATTTATTAGTGCCTCAAATTTATTAAATAATTTTGAATTGGCATCTGTACTACATTAATTCTTCCCATCAAAGATCACAGTGTATTTTTCCATAGTTTATATATTGTTTTATATCTTTTAGTAGTCTATGAATAAGATTCATAGATTTTTAAAATATATGTCCTTTGTTTTCTTTTTTGAAATTATCTATAAAAATATTATACTCTTTATTATAAATGAGTATCTTTCCATTTTCATTGCCATTTGCTTACAGATAATATAAACAAATGCTTTTGGTCTTAATATGTTTTGTTTTTATCTTAAATTCTCCATTGTTTTTCATTGAATCTGATTTTAACTAGAATCTGAGTTTCTAGATTAATATTGTCATTAGAAAAAATCTATTTTCTAATGTTTATACTAATATATTTTTAATTATCATTCCAAAGCAATAGCAGCAGTACAAATCTACATCCAATTTTTCATATTAACTGCAATGAGAATTTTCTAACTTCATGATTCGTTTAATTTTAGGTTTATTATTTTGTCATAGGTTCATTCTTTTGTCATACTTTATTCCTATTAATTCATATAATACTTTCATAAGATACTGGTATTACCGTATGACTTTTTAAATAGGTTGATGTAAGTCATTATACTGATGGACTTCTGGATATTACAACTATCTCTTATTTTACAAAGATCTCTGTATCTGTATTTACATAGGAGTTTGGGCTACATTTTTGTTTTTATATGCTAACTTCATAAGGTTTCATATTAAGAATTTTTTCCAGTGGATTGTAGTAACTTAAATAACATAGGAATTATCTGTTTTTTATGAAGATTTGATGTAATCCAGCTGTGAAAATCAATGGTCTTAGTGGCTTTTATTAATGGCAGATTTTTAACGTTCTCAATCACTTTGATTATTTTCAAAAATTTTTTACGATGATTTTAGAAATTTAAATTGTTAGAAAAGCATCAATGTCATCTATGTCTAAGGTTTTCAGATTTGTTGCACAGGACTATCTTCACACATACTTTTTTATTATTGTTTAGAGGTGTGATTAAAATAGTCATTAATTAGATCTCATATCTCACCCCCATTCTTGCATATTTTTCTCCTTTCTATTCCCTTAACCAGGCTTCTTTTTCTTGCTTCTCAAATCTCACTTGACTTTCAGTATAGTTCAATAATAGTAGAAAAGGAATCTCTTAACTCTGAATAGTTATAATGGTATGCCATTACAAAACATTTGTCACCGTGAATAATAAATTCCCTTGTTACCTTGAGTCTCCAAGTATAGCTCCCTCAGAAAGTCTATTCCCATTCAGAAATAAAAACTGAATCCCCTTGTTAGGGCCTGTCATGCAGAAGAGAAGAGAGATGAGGCACAAACCGTATTTAGTAAATGGGTGAGGCAGCTATTTGTTGGCAGCCATCAGGAGCAGAAGGAAGCAAAGAGAACAAGACAATTTTTGTGTGATTCGGAGCTGGTACGGTAACCCCTGTGTGCTGCAGACAGAGCTGACTCTCAAGACTATTTCTTAGGTTCTTCAGAAATCTCCATCTCTATGGAAGAGGTGGTTTGCTTACCAGTTTGGCTGGTTAGTACTCCTCCTGTAGTCACTGAGAATGCTTCAGGGTCTGGGCCTCTTCAGGAAATCTCCCTTGAGATCACACTTCCCCTCCGAGAGTCCCGAACCCACAGATGATCCCACGCAGACTCCTCCTCGTGCACGGCCCCTGCATGGTGCGGGTTGGCTCACTCGGGGGTCTGTCTTGACTCGGGACTTCCAAGCACAAGAGCCCCTGCCTCCCCTCTCCTTAGGTTTCCCTAGTGGCTGGGTGCTAAAGAATCCACCTTCCAGTGCAGAAGATGCAGGTTTGATCCCTGGGTGGGGAAAAGCCCCTGGAGAAGGAAATTGCAACCCATTCCAGTGTTCATGCCTGGAGAATCCCATGGGGAAAAGAGCCCGGCAGGCTACAGTCCATGGGGTCACAAAGAGTCAGACACAACTTCACAACTAAACAACAGCCTCTCTCCTTGGCTTGTCTGTCAGCTGCCAGCTAGTTACTCATTTGTGACCTTTATTTATATTTAACAAACTGAAGTCAGACCCTAGGCTCTTGTGTCTCCCCCAGTCTGCCATAGAGTTATATTAGATTCTCAATGTTCTCTTTAGATCTGAAATGAAGAACAAAGTAATCCCCACCCTTCTGCCTTTATACTCGGAATTTCACAGAACTGCTATTTCTGAATAATCACTTTACTAAATTATAATCATGGTCCAATCTCAGAAAAATGAACCTAACTTAAGCAGTTTTAAACAGAAAAAGATTAATTGGTACTTACCAAATTTTTGCAGGGCAGGAGAGCTCTAAGTGGGCCTGAAGCACTGACTCCCAGAGCACCATTTGCAGAAAGGACCCGTCAGGCCTTGGCCACTTCTGCCACCATCAGAATACTTCAGCTGATGCTATGCACCAGTTTCTATTGCAGTTCCTGAGGATACAATGGTAAACAAAATCAGACAATAAATTCCTGAAATAATCAAATTTTACTTTTAGGGATAAAGTGGAAGGGGAGACAGGGAGGAAGCAAGGTAAATATGTAAAATATACATTTATGTTACATGCTGTTGATTGCCATGCAGATACCAGAGGCAGCCTGCAATTTTAAGCAGGTTTTACAATTGAAGCATTGTTGGTTTTCTTAAAAGACTGACACATACAAATATACCTGAACACTTTTTGAATAATCCTTGATATTTTCTGCTCTTGGGATAATACCCCAAGTTTCTCAGACAGTAAATGGGGAGTGAGTATTCAAATTCAGGCCTGGGTGTCTCCAAAGCACATGCTCTTTCCACAACTCATTATTTTTTAATAGTAAAATATAAATGGTTTCTAGATTGGCCACATCCCCATACTTTTATTAATGCACATGTAATTAAGAATTGACATATATACACTACCATGAGTAAAATAGATAGCTCATGGGAAGCTGCTTGTATGCACAGGGCGCTCAGCTTGGTCTCTGGGATGACCTAGAGGGGCGGGATGGGGGTGAGGTAGGATGGAGGTTGGGGTGGGAGGCGGGCTCAAGAGGGAGGGCGTGGAGGTGTACATATAACTGATTTGCTTAACTGTTCAGCAGAAGCATAACATTGTAAAGCAATTACACTCAATAAAAAGATTCATATTATTTAGAGAAATCATTGAATCTAAATAGATTAAAGCAAATGTCTTTGTGTCTTTCTAGTCATAAAGCCATTTCTGGAAAGTTCTGAATAGTGGCCTTAATGCCTAGTTATTGGTCAATCTGAAAACATGGTGCCTTGAGTTCTGCCTTGGAAGATGCTAAGCAGGATGGCTGCAGACGGCTGGTGAGGTGTGTCTGATGTTATCTGTACATTCTCCCAGAACAGCTCTAGTTCTGCCAATTTATATATTGAAATGCTCAGGAGTAATCACCATTCTTAACAGACTGGATCTTGTCCAGGCCCAGATTCTTGGACTTCTCTGAATCTCACATGATGGCCCCAGAATCAAATTCTATTAACTGCTAAGGACCACCCAGGAGGAACCCTTAAACTGGATGTAGACATCTCAAATTTCCCAGAGCTCTGTCAAGCTAAAGTGGGTCACCCAGACCACACAGAGGCAGGACAGGAGATCTAGTGGAGTTTTGGTTTGGACTCAACTTCCGAAGAATGTGTGATGTCTTCTCCAGTCTTGAGAAAACAAGCCAGAAAAGCTAGAGCCTGTGCACTCGTGGAAACGGCTTGGATGCGGTATATCCTCCCACCACTCGGCTTCAGTAACACGCGTGCGTATCAGCTGTCCTCATCTGAGCATCACAGCTATGAATCCTCAACTGTGAATTTTCCTAAGAATCTTGTAAAAGCCATCTCTCCAATCTAGCCTACCCAGTAGATTAAAGAAAACTTTAACTTTGTTTCCTCTCAGTTGTCTTTGTCAGATTCTTGGTAAATTCAGATTATTTTAATCAGTGTTTTTATATAAAATTAACTGGGCAATTATATATAGTGCATTATAATTTTTAGGTGACATTTGTTATATACATGCAAGATTGACACTAGTTGCCATTCAGTTTGTTTCTGTCCTTGAGTTTTGGGAACAACACAATCAGAAATATCTACAACATAAAGATTATATCTTTATGTGAATTGACAATAGTAAATTGGGATTTGATACTTTTTTTAAAGCCTGATCATGCTAGTACAGTAGTTTAAACTTACAACTGGTTGGGTATGTTTCTTTTACATGAGCAAAAGTGGAAAGTGATGAATGAGCACACTGAACCGTTCTCAAGCTGAGAATTTTTGACCTTGTGAGTATATATTACTACTGCCATGTTCTAAGCCTTTCTACTAACTCCCTTGAGCAACCCCAAATTGATACTGTTATTTAAAATAAATTTTTCTTGTGTAAAGAGATACTAGTATAGTTACACTGCAAGTCACCATATAATCTGATCTAAGCAGAGACATGCCTCTGAAAAACCCAGGATGCTGCTTTCCCTTCAACTATCCATCAACCCCATGACCGAGAAGGTAAGACAGTTCTATTTATGAGACTCCACTTTCCCCTAAAACCAAGAACAAGACGTTTCACCAGTTTATAAAATATTTAAAATTTCATCTAAGATAGATAAATTGATGTGCGAATGATAGTTCTATGGAGAAGAAAGAAAAGTCTGCTAATTTGTCTATTTCTTGAACAAGGGGAGGGTCTAACCCAAGAGTCATTCGTCAACCACCATGTGGAATCACTTATGCCAGATGGGGCCATCAATTAAATTGGAAAGCACTGCACTGTACTTTCTAGATTGTAGGGGAAAAAATGCTTATATAAGTGAAAAAGAGGGAGCAGTAAGACTGTACCTGGTTGATCCAATCCCCTGAGCTCCTCCAATTCTATTACCATAGATTGTCTTTCATCACCTCCTGGATTTTAACCTATAAGTGCACTGCAATACTAGCATCCAGTTACACATCCCCGCCACTGGTGAGCAGACACATGAAGAAAACTCTCGAATTTAGTCATTTATGTGTCAGCAAGCAGGGAGCCCCACTTCCCTCACTGCCAGAAAACTTCCTTCTGCACCACTGGAGTAATGGCCAGACATTTACAAGCCACTCTCTTTGGCTGAAAATTTGGTTTTAAACCCTTAATGATGCATCTGCAACTACTGTTTGACTGAACTAATTTCAAATGCAGTCATGTTTCCAATAGTCCACGACAGTTTTAAAAGTTTGAAGAGACCAGGAGTTGGAGACAACCGCAGAGCAGATGTGTTTCACTGGGATTTGTTAACATCTTACTAAACTATGTTATGGAGACATTTCAGGAGGCAAGCATCAGCTCAAGCAACAACCCCTCTTTAAACACATAATCCCATGTCAAGTGATAAAATGAGCACACACACACCACCAACCTCCTAGTCCAATATGCAAATATATATATATACACACACACACACACACACATATATATACATACATATGTATAGTTGCAGAATCTGCCTGCAATGAAGCAGACCCAGGTTCGATCCCTGGGTTGGGAAGATCCCGTGGATAAGGGAATGGCACCCCACTCCAGTGTTCTTGCCTGGAGAATCCCATGGACAGGGAGGTCAGGTGGGCTACAGTCCCTGGGGTTGCAGAGTTGGACACAACTGAGTGACTGACACTTTCACTTATGTATGTGTTTTACTCATTACTCATGTACACACACACACATACACATATATATAGCGAGTAAAACACAGTCCTGTAAGTGCCACGACAGGTTCAGGTTATTAATTTTAAAGGAAATAAACTTGCTCATTTTAAAAAATGAAGTAACCATTGGGCATCTGTTATACACCAGACACTGCCTTAGGCTTTTGGGATTCATCAGTGACTAAGATATGCGAATTCAAGGAGCTTCTGTTTTGGGAGGAGGAGGTGAAGGTAGACTGAAATAAAAACAGTAAGTAAGTAAACTACAAATCTCCCTGGAAAGCAGTCAGCATGACGATAAGATAAATAGGAAGAACAGGAGAAGAGAGGTCCGGAGTCAGGGGTTGGGGAGGGTGTCAGGTCACAGAAGGTGAGCGGTCAGTGGGCCAGCGGACAAGGTGATGTCTGAACAAACAATCGAAAGACGTGAGGGGATTAGCAATTCTTTTTTAATAATAAATTATGAAAGCCTAAAAAATAAATCTGATAAATTATACAACAATCTGATAAGCAGAGCTGAAAACTAAAGTTGTCAGAGAGCAGGAATGATGGTAAAGATACACTTTCTCAGTTACTTCTCACTATGCCTCTTCTTCCCCTGTGGCTCAGCTGGTAAAGAATCTGCCTGCAATGCTGGAGACCTGGGTTCGATCCCTGGGTTGGGACGATCCCCTGGAGTAAGGGAAAGGCTACCCACTCCAGTATTCTGGCCTGGAGAGTTCACTGGACTGTATAGTCCATAGGGTCGCAAAGAGTCGGATACGACTGAGCGACTTTCACTTCATTTTCATGCCTCTTACTGCTGCTTTTCCATAAGTCACATCTTCCTCATTTCCTGCTTTGCTCTTTTCTCTCCCTGACAAATTAATGTGCTTCCTCTCTCTTTATACAGGTATTTTTAAAATTTATGAATAATTAGTGGTGCTTCCAAGAATACATTATTTTCCCAGGAAACCCAACATGACCACTTACCTCATTCTTGCTAGAAATATCTTTTTTCTTTATTCAGGTGGTGATCATCAGAATCATATATTAATAGTAAACTCTATGCCTCATTTAATTACTTTAATTTTGTTCCTGAAACCTTGCCCTAAAAGTGAAAAGTCATAAATTGAAAGCAAAGTTCCTTAATTTTAAAGAGAAATTACAAGATATATCATTCCAATTCAAAATACTCAAAAAAATTTTTATAGACTGGAATATATATATGTATCTCAAGTGAACAATGAAAACAAGTTTATATAACCAGGGTGAATAAACACAAACAGCAGTGTGAAGGTAAAACAAAGTTTGAACACCGGTTGTGATGAAGTTTACTTTACTCACTGAGGCAGGCAGAGCTTCAGGGATGGCGGGTGGTGCTTATCTTCAGACAGGAATCTGACATCACAATTGGATGTACTGGACACATTAGTTTCCTAGGGCTGCCATAACAAACTAGCACAAGCTGGGTGGTTTGAAACAACAGACATTAATTCTCTCATAGTTCTGTAAGCCAAAGTTCGAAAATCAAGTCCAAAAGTCTTGGCAAGCTTTCTGGAGTCTCCAGGGGAGTATCTGTCCCAGGCCTCTCTCTTAGCTTCTGGAGATTCCCTGTAATCCTTGGCATTCCTTGGCTTGTAGATGCATCATTTTAGTCTCTGTCTCTGTCTTCCCATGGTCTTCACCCTCTGTGTCCAAATTCCCCTCTTCTTAGGAAGACATCAGTCGTTTGATGAGCATCCATCCTCCATTATGATTTTATTGTAAGTTGATTACATCTACAAAGACCCTACTCCAAATAAGCTCCTGTTCACAGGTACCAGAGTTCAAACCTTGACCTGTCTTTTTGGTGGCACAATTAAACCTTGGAAAATAATTTTTCTTAAGACTGTGACAAAAATAAAGGCTAAACCTAAAAACAATGGAACATGTGGAGACACATGGAAATATGTACAGAAGAGACTAAAGATTCAAAAGATGCTACATCTTCTCCCCTGGCATACTAACACAAAGCAACAATGTTTTGTTTAATCCAAACATGGTGCTCAATTTGAATTTGTTGCAAAAGATATTAGAAATGATTGTGTTAACTAAGTGGCAATTCTGTCTTTTTCTGGAAATGTACTATTGATTTAGTATATAGTTTTCAGTATATTTGGGAATGAAAAAAATTTCAAGAAAGTGCTGTTTTGAGAAAAGTGAGCTGTTAAGGTGACTGGTTAATCATACTGTTATAACGTGAAGTAAATCTGTATCTTCAGAGTCAGGAGCAACCCACCTGTAATCTAGACTCACGGTATATTCTCATAATAATGTACTGAAAGCAGTATTTCCAATGTATGCTACTTAGTAGGCACTTAAAATGCTTATATACCCATCCCTATAGTGTATCATTTCTTCATAAAATGGAGGAAGGAAAAAAATAAAGGTTGTTGCAATGTGGAGGTTGCAGTTTCATTTTTCTGATTAAGTAATTTGCACACTGTTACATATTGAATTATGTTCCCTCAAAAGTATATGTTGAGGTTCTAACTCCCAGTATGGTCTCATTTGGGAAGGGTCTTTGGAGATGTAATCAAGTCAAGATGAAGTCATTAGGCCCTAATCCAATATGAATGGTGTTCTCATAAAAGGAGCAATTTGCATAGAGTCAGACACTATGTGAAGATAAAAGCAGAACACCGTGTACAGATGAAGGCTGAGATCAGGGTGAGGCATCTATAAAGAAAGAATATCAAAATTACTAGAAATCCACCAGAATCTGGGAGAGAGACGTGGAAGAGATTGTCTCTTACAGTCTCAACTGCTCATAGGGAAGACAGTAAGATGAAAGTATATCTCATAAGGAAGATGTAATATACAGTTGGATGAGACCTCTGGAAAAGTTTATTAAGCTGACAAAAACCCCTTCTTTTCTTCTTTCTCAAAAACCTGTTGTCCTGTCCTGAGGTCTAGCAGCCATTTGGGCTGCTAGTAGGCTAAGCAATTTATCCCAGGATCCCTGACACTCATGTGCTACTGAACTCAGGGACTGCCTAGCTCTACACTTTGATTAACAAATGTATAACCATATATATTTAAATCACACAAGTCTGTCACTAGAAACCAAATGCAATTCTTCACTGATATAAAAATCTATCTGAGGATCTATCCATCCTTGGTTTCCAAGCTTCCAGTTAGCTTACTCTGAACTTGTCACACTTTACAATGCAGAGTAGTACGCCAACATTCCTCATTTTTTGTTA